CCCCCGAACCGCTAACTGACAAATCAAATGTTGCTTTGTTTGCTTTCCTTGCGTCCTCATTACAAAACAATTAAAGCAACAATACTCCTGACATAGATCAGTTTTATTGATCCTTCAGTGGAAGAAATTGACTTTGTGCTTTCACCAGCTTCCGCAACATAACATTATATTTGTACATATTCATGGCAACATATCAACACAAATTCTCTCCTCACTCATACATATTCATTCCCTCATTACCATACAAAAATGGAAATTCTTTGGACATACACAGGATACACATGTGGGAGGCGTCGAGGTGAAATCAGGCACTCGTCAAAATAATGAAATCGATGAAGCAAGCATTTCTCCGCCAGTTAGCAATTTTTATCACAAGTTCATTTTTTGGTATAACACATTTTATGTTCATATATGAAAACACATTTCCTGAAAATGTTGGTTAAAGGCACAAAAGATACAATTTTTCAGTATTCAGGGACCCTCAAGCTATTGAAGTTACCAAACTTTGGCGGCCATCTTCTCGCTAATTTTCCAACTGAAACCAGGAGACCCCACCTCCTTCAATCACAAATATCTCAACTTCTATTCAAGATAGGTATTTAAAAAAAATTGAAAACAAGGCTAACGAATAAGCTTCTAGATAATACCAATAACCCTTAATGCCCAAAATTTGACAAGCGCCTGATTCCACCAAGTCGTGACACATACATACATGTACATTGTCTGTAATGTCATAAAATATGAGGGTGGACAGCTTTTTAGACATATAGAGCAAAAACCACATTGTTCATACATTGCAGAAGGTAAGAAGAGTAAAAAGAAAGAAAGACTTGTTGTAAAAGTAAACTTTAGCCCTCTGTTAGGATCCTACTTGACCTACTAGGCACGAAAACTCATCAAGAGACATTGTCACATCATTTCTAAGATGGAAACTTATCAAAAGACATTGTCACATCATTTCTAAGATGGAAACTTATCAAAAGACATTGTCAATTCATATCTAAGATGGAAACTTATCAAAAGACATTGTCAATTCATATCTAAGATGGAAACTCATCAAAAGACATTGTCAATTCATATCTAAGATGGAAACTTATCAAAAGACATTGTCAACTCATATCTAAGTAAGGCGGAATCTCATCATCAAAAAGACAATGTCACATCATATCTAAGTAAGACGGAAACTCATCAAAAGACATTGTCAATTCAGATCTATGAGAGAAACTCATCATCAAAAGACATTGTCAATTCATATCTAAGATGGAAACTCATCATCAAAAGACATTGTCAATTCATATCTAAGATGGAAACTCATCAATAAAAAGACATTGTCACATCATATCTAAGACGGAAAATCATCAAAAGACATTGTCAATTCATCTAAGACGGAAACTCATCAAAAAGACATTGTCAACTCATATCTAAGACGGAAACTCATCAAAAGACATTGTCAACTCATAATATCTGCAAAGTGCCGGACAAATTTGAACAATAAACAAAAAGTTGGGAACGTTGAATTTTCCAAAAGTTCCGGAAATTTCCGGAAGGGTCATCCTACTGTTACGATAAAACTCACATCCAACGGAGTCCTCTGATATGACCTTGAACCTCGTTGAACCAGAGTGTTCGGTGAAGGAAAGGTGAAATTGGCGGGAACATTTTTTATGGATAATGGCAGAGATGTCCGAGTCGATGCGTCGAAGCAAGTACGAAGGAAAGTAACTTGTGGTTCCAAAAATGCTTGAGTGTATAAGAGTTTGCTTCCCTTGGCAGAGCATTTCTCGATATTGCAGATTGTTTCATATTGTTTCATTTTAAGGTTTAAAAAAAGAG